AAAGTTATGAATGAATGTTTTTTGTTGTTGTACAAGTCCACAGCAATGAACAACATCATTATCTTAAGCAGTATGTTAAACTTGTCACACACACACATATATATATATATATATATACACACACACACACACACACACACACACACATATACATACACAAGAGTTCTGTCTGGTTCTTGGCTGATTGGCTGATAGTTTGACAAATATTGCTGCTGTTGGACAACAAATTGTAATTTTGAGGGTTTTTAATCAAGAATGTAGTTTTTTAGATTGCAACTATGCAGTTTATTTATAAGGATAGTGCCTATTTTTAAATAGAATTTCTGAGACAGCACGTCGTCGGCCATTAGCCTGTCTTTAAGCAAAGATAGTAGACAATGTTCAACCATAAAATGGCGACAGAGCGCATAATAAGCTCTAAGAGAAAAACAGCATCATTTTTTTAACTACAGCTGATTAAAGCATGATTAAACAGGTAAATTACTTTCTAAGTTATTCTCTCTGTTTTGCATGTTGTAGTGCTGTATTCATACCATAGTAATATTGTGATCTCCCGGGTTGCAACAGAGAAATAGCCTACTGGGAAATCTCTGTAGACTTAAGGCATTTCATGCCGTTCAACCTTATAATCTTGAAATGTGAGAAAAATTACCTGTTTCATCATCATTTTAGACATTAAGCTATAGAATCATTCAAACACTAGCTCTAAAGTGACGTTAGTGAATTAGCAACGGTTTCTGCTGTTCTGACATCAGCTGCAGATGTGAAGGAATGGTGAAAGAAAGTATTCCTCTTAAAAAAGGGTTTTGAGACTCTTCATGTTTGATTTTCTTTTTATATACAGCATTATGTAATTGAACTGTTGTATAAATGCAATCTTACACACGTAGTAGTGCGATGTGGCTGTATACTGTATATATCGGCACTGGTGGGAGGCGTGCGTTGGCACGAGGCCGCCAGTGACAATATACACTACATTGCATTGCACTGCTGTGAGTGTGAACTGTATATTTATTACTGTTCATTTTGTTTTAATGTATAAAATAATATTTTAATGATGTTTTAGTGGGAGACCCTGTGGTTCAGTGGTTAGCACTGTCAACTCGCAGGAAGAAGGTCGCTGGTTGGAGACCCATCTGGATCAGTTGGCATTTCTGTGTGGAGTTTGCATGTCCTCCCCGTGTTTACATGGGTTTTCTCCGGGTGCTCCGGTTTTCCCCACAGTCCAGACATGCGCTACAGGTGAATTAAACAAACTAAATTGGCTGTGTGTGCATGTGAGAGTGTATGGGTGTTTCCCAGTAATGGATTGCAGCTGGAAGGGAATTTTTGGCATTTCATTCCACTGTGGTGACCCCTGAAGTATAAAGAGACTAAGCCAAAGGAAAATGAATGAATGATGTTTTACTTTATCTTTTACTTCATTTTTAATGTATTTTATGGTAAATTCTGGGAAACAAATCTTTTTCTAATGAAAAAAAAAATTGTAATGGGCATTTAAAAATCTTTTTTTTTTATCTGTATTTAGCTTATACTAACTTTTGTTGCTTTTTCTTATCAACTTCAAATTGACAATCAAATTTTAATACTTTGACTGGTCACATGGTTCTGATTTGAATAAATGCATGTTTTAGTTGATAAGTGAAAGGCTGCTTCCCTTTCTAACATCACAAATTGCAGTGGAGAATACAGTTTGCTATTTTCTTTTAATCTAACTTGAAACAAACTTGGACATGTGTAAGACATTCAAGATCTGTTCAATCAAAACCTCTTTGATAATTTTCTTCCCACAGGAAAAAAACTTGATCTCATGGCTTCTGTTTAGTTTTTCCTTTTCTTTCCTTTTGCTCTCTGTTTGTTAAAACAAACTTTTTTGTTTTTATTTTTGAATAACTTCATCTTTTATGCTCTGAAAAATAATTTCACAAAGCTTGTGATCACAAATCTCATTTAGATTTCCGCTTTGGTGTTTGTTTTTATGAGTGATATTAAACATAACACTGTTATAATATTTGTGTTGCAGTATTTCCCAGACTACTAAGCTTTTGCTGATCTACAAAAAAACTCTTATATCTAGTAGTGAAAAAGATTTACAAAAAAAAAAAAAGATCTTGAAAATGATAAACCGTCATATCTGAACTGTGGATCGTCAGTACGACTTAACATGAGGTCAAAATCACTTCTCTTTGGCCTCATTTCCCCTTTGACTGTATTGCAACAGTCATGTCCAGTCAGAGAATGAGCCCTCTCAGCATAACTCAGAGTATGTGTAATGGAAACCAAATGACTCAACAGCTTTTAGTCAGTGTCCATATTTCATTTGGCCAAGTGAAAAATTAAGTTATACTGCTGATGTGAGAGAAAGTGCACTGCCCATTGTGAGCACAATTTTGGTTTCATCTTTCATTTCCGAAAGCTTCAGAGCAAAATTGTAGCCTAAAAACCTTTATTAATAATGAAATATTATTCGATAAAATATTAACTGGATTTATTTAAATACATGCCATTGTAATGTCTTCATTTTGAACTGAGAAAAACAACTTTATATAAATGTCAGTTCAAAAGTTCACTGTGAAAAAAAGCCTACTCGGTGGATTTCAAGAGCTTTTTTCACCCAGGGCAAATCAATCAAATGTGCACAAACAGGTGCAGCTTTTCCCCTTGGTGATTAATAAAACATGGCTCTTAGTTATATCTGCTAACACATTCACACTTCCACACTGACTCGCCCCGAGGTATTGAGAGCATTGTGCATCAATGTCACTCCTGTTGAGCAAATCATGACAGGTAACGGCAGCGTCCTGAGAGACTCCATAATTCCTTGTAAGCCTGTTAAAACTGAGGAAAAACTGCAGAAGCGATGTACACTGGAGAAAGTGCTCGTCTGAAGTGAATTAATGACCGCCAGAAATGACTGCAGGTCCACCTAGTGGTCAAAAGTGTAAGCGATTGAATTTTTGATACTTTGATTTGATACACTCTTTTGCGTGTATTGCTGCGTAAACATACTACAGCTCATAAATTTAGGGTTAAAAAAATTTGCATAAAAATGAATACTTCCGTTTAGCAAGAAAGTCACAGCAAACAGAAGTACCTGTAATATTACATATGGCAACAGTAAGTCCAACTGTAGCCATGTTACAGATATTTCCGTTTTAAATGCTTTCGACGTTGACAATAGCCTCATCTTTTGAGCACGTGGCACTTAACTGTATATGCACATAATATGAGATCTTGGATCTATGGTTGTGGTTCGTGGAAAGGGATTTTGGTAAATATTTTATACATTTAAATTCTTACATTTCTAACACAAAACTAAAGTATGATTCTCGTACAATTGTTATTGAACTGATAGGATTTTTGTGTGCATTTTTAGAGCCAAACAGGTCCTCTTTATTAGATATCGTTCACATCTTGGTAGAATAGGCCTAACTACTACGCAACACTGTTAGCCTTTTTTTCTGGTCTGGGAAAGTGCCCTTTTAATAGTCATGTACTTTTCTCCTTTAACTTTTGAAATGTATTCATTTATTTTATTTTCGGCTTAGTCCCTTTAATCAGGGGTCACCACAGCGAACTGCCTGAATTAAACATATTATCATTGTTATTATTATTGGAAAATTAATATACTGTATAACAGTGGTTCTCAAACTTTTTTCATCAAGTACCACCTTAGAAAAAATTTGTCTCTCCAAGTACCACCAAAACGAGTAGTATTGAAATACAGTAGCGTAGTAGGCCTAGTAAAGCAGCTACAACTGCACAGTTAGAAAGATCATGGCAGATTACCTCAGAAATATAGGCTATATGTCATATATGGCATATTATATACATCATTTTTGGTAAACTTGGAAATGTGTGAAGCATGTACAAGACATATTTCATTCCTCCGCGTACCACTAGAAGGAAGCCTGCGTACCACTAGTGGTACACGTACCACAGTTTGAGAACCACTGCTGTATAACATTCATTTACAGTAAAACTAAAATACAGAAATTAAAATTCATTCATTTTCCTTCGGCTTAGTCCCTTTTTTCATCAGGGGTCACCACAGCAGAATGAACCGCCAACTTATCCAGCGTATGTTTTACACAGCGGATGCCCTTCCAGCTGCAACCCAGTACTGGGAAACATCCATACACCTTCATTTACATACATACACTACAGCCAATTGACCCTTCGCTAAGCCCCTCCCTCCTTAGTTACTGTTGCTATGTCTGTCAAGCTTTAATGCCTGGCAGGGTTTTTACAATGTGCATGCGCCGATGTCAGGCATTGCCAGGGATATAATGTCATTTTTGGCGAACAGGTGAGATATCTAAGAAGCTAGACAAAAAAAGAACTGCAGTATGCATTACAGGAGTATGTTCACAACATAATAGGCAACCGATTAGAGAATAATTCAATCAAAATTGAAGCTAGCTTAGCCTTGCCGTCTCATACGCTCACCATTCAACAACTTAGTTCATGCTCAGCAGGAGAGGTGAAATTTACAAATAATTCAATAATAACAAATGAAACCAAGATTGCTCTATTTTTAGCCAAAAAGCCTGATAGATTAATTTTTGTGCAATGAAATATAACATTGCTAACCGACAAGGAAGCACACATGAACAGTTACATAACGTTAGTTCATTCATAGACAGAACAGCCAGAAAGGGGAATGATGGATTTGTGCGGAATTAGCATCATTGACCCATAACATTGAACAGAAAGTTACATATTACTGTCTGTATGTTTGTGTGCTTTTTATAAATTAATGAAAAACAGCCGCTGACAATTTAGTTTATTCAATTCACCTATAACACATGTCTTTGGACAGTGGGGAAAACCGGAGCACCCGAAAGAAACCTGAGCGAACGCTGGGAGAACATGCAAATTCCACACAGAAATACCAAACTTCTTGCTGTGGGGCAACAGTGCTTTCAACTGTGCCACCATGCCGCCCCAGAAATTGAAATTATTAGAGCTTTTTTCTTAAACATACAGTAGGCCATATATAGGTTTATATGTCAAGTCACCTTTATTTCTTAAGAATAAAAGCCATGGCAACATTTCAGATTATGGAAAATCATAGCATATCAAGCAGAAAACAGAGTATAGTATAATGCTGGTATAGATTAAACCTGATTCAGTTCAGTTTAATATGAATGTCAATGTTGAAGGACAATCCACAGAAGAGCATTTCCACGGATGATTATGATGATGAACAATGGCATTTTTGATTGAAATATGCTTATAATTCATCATTTTATAAGTAGATATATGAACATCAGTTGCTCCAATTGCTCCTGCTGCAAAGCCTGACTAAAAGTCAAAGCTAGAATTTTGACACGTTTGTTGTAATAAGATTTTTCTCTTTGTTTCTCTTAAGTGCTTTTTTGAAGGCATTTAAAATTACGTCTTTGTTGTTCAGAATGTTGTAGGTGGTGAGGCTGGACAGTTTCTGGAAATTTTCAGGCTCATAGGTAAGATTGAGAGTGGAGAATGGACAGAACATTCTGGTGAAGTCAACATCAAAATCTCCTTCCTTCATCTCCACTTTACCTTCTCGCCTCTTTCCTAACAACACACACACAGGCACGCACACTCTTTTAGTAGTAGTAGCAGTAGTATTTACAATCAGTAGATTATGAGGTTGATTTAATTTCACAGAAGAATCTTAATTTAAGATTAACAGTTGAATAGTTAACAGGAATATTTTAATATAAATAGAATAAATTAGATATTATAAAGACAACTTTTTTCAGTGCACACAATGAAAGTCAGTTGGGTCCTTAGTTGTTTTAGATTCCACTAAATATCAATGCAATGGAAAAAACATTCTTTAAACATCTACTTTTGGAGAATAAGGCCCAATTCCAATTCTATTTTAGTACCCCTACCCATTCCCTTTCCCCTTCCCCTTGGCCGTTAAAACCGAGCGTGAAGGGAAAGGGCTTCAAAATTTACCCCTAAGAAATGGGACAGCACTACAACACCTGCACACATCATCATATGTCATTGCGATTTCATGCTTCATATGAGATCAGACGATCGCGACTGCTGTAGTTATTTCAGTTGTGTTATTTTTTTGGTATTTATCTTCTGAAAATCACTGAAGGCATGTATTATGTTATCATAACAATATAATGTGGCAATAAGATCATAACTGTTTCGTGTATTTACACGTTGGCCATATTCATCTATGTAAACACACAAAAACAACATTAACATTATAGCAGACACTGTAAAAAGCTCATTCCCAGCCACTAGACTTTTCTGACAGGGTATTCAAGTGGCATCGAGTGTCAGAATGTTGTGGGACTGCTGTACAGGAGTTTGTATCATGAAATTTAGCAGTTTTTATTTTAGCGTTTTTTTTTAAGCATCACAGTAAAACACGAACATGTACTTGTTTGTTGTAAAAATTCTTAATAATGATAAAAAATACAAATTTGTGGATCTCCTTACTTCCGGGTGCAGCTATACTGCCGTTGTAGATGGTGTATTCTGGAAAATTTGCCCTTGGTTTTGAGTGTGGTCCTGAAAAATACATTAGAAGGGCTATCTATCCCTTCCCCTTTACGGGAAAGTGCAAAATGAGGGGCGGGGTAAAAGGTAGGACTAAGGGATAGAATTGGGATTGGGCCTTAGTTCATTCTCATTTAGAATGATAATCATAGGGACAACAACAATACTGTAATGATAACTTTAAGCATCCACATTTTCTTTATTATAAGCGCAAGCTCTTTAAAGCAGGGTGGATTTTGATTTCATTGTTTTATTAGATCTTCAGTAAAACATATATATATATATATATATATATATATATATATATATATATATATATATATATATATATATATATACACACACACACACACACACACACACACACACACACACACACACACACACACACACACATACACACACACACATACATACATACATATATTTGAAACTTGTTCCCTAACTTCCAACTACATCATTCCTATAGTTAGTATACAATGGTGTAGTACATTTTTTTGTATATATTTTAACTATATCATTGTCACTTGGTGTGAACATGCCTTAAATGATGACAGGATGTTTATTAGGTGAACTCCAATGTGTTTTGATGGTACAAATGATGATGATATTAAAGGTAATGAGGGCAATACTCACCTGGAGCTTTGAACTGTTTGAATGAGACATTGATTAAGGGAAAGTGAAGCACTATGGGAACCTCTGGATTCTCTTCATCTTCAAACACATACACTTCCCTGATTGGCTCAGTCTCCAACTTTTTGAAATCGATGTTTGGAAATACAGTCTTGTGCTCCCTGCAGTACTCCTGAGTTTCCTTTAAGATCTACAGTAATGGACACAGACATAAACAACCAAATCACATTTGTCCTCATTATTTTTCTCATCAAAATTTGACAGGTCTTTCTGGTGACTCCCACCTTGAAGTGGTCTGAGTCCCAAGCATAGTTGAGAGAAAGAATAACATCTGCGAGTCTATTAGAGCGTAACACAGGAGGAAATCCAGATTTGAGGACAAAAGCAGAGTCCACCAGACCAAGTGTGGCATCTGCTGGTGTCAGGGAGTTCGGGAAAGCGTCTGGATGTGTGTCTGCAAAAAGTCCACTTTATAATTAAGACCATGCCTTGTGAGATTAAACTGATTCAAAGAAGGAATGGTGCTAATTAAGCTAAACTGAACTGCATAAATGATGTTCTGACCTTTCCATGCGGTGAAGTCACAGTTCTCAGTGTAGTTCCTGTGCAGTTGGAAGCCTCTCAGGAAGTTGAACACTTGGCTGATAATGGGGCGGCTGGTTAAAAAGTTGCTTAGCTTTTTTGCCAGTTCAGTCATAGGGTTGACATGAAGCGTGTTCGATGTTGATGGTTTGTTGTCCGTGTCTATTGATAATGGATTTTTTTGCATATAGATAAAACAAAATGCATATACTTAGTCTGCACACAGTTTTATGAAATGATTAGACATAGGCCTCTATTTTATTGATCTAAGCACAAAGTTTAATGTGCATGGCACAAAAGCACTAAGGGCAATATTACAATCCACTTTTGCTATTTTAAGGATGAAAAAAAAACTGCATCTGTGCATTGTCAAAAGGGGTTATGCTTTTTTTCTCAATGAGCTAAGAGTGTGTTTATAACTGAAGACAGTAATTACATTTTTAATTTCATAACTTCATTTGTTAAGTGCAAAGATTTGTTTCAAAACTATTTCTAAAAACAGGAGCAGAACCACTGATTTAGATTATCCGTGAACATGATTTCTGCAGGAGTCCTGATGTAACGAATACTACAACTCCCATGATTCCACAATGCACACTTGTTTGTTATGAATACATGCCCTCTAGCAGTGAAAATTTCATACTTTTGCATTAATATCCAAGTTTTCCTCATAAATTGCACTGCCAGAAAACAATTTAAAAGATAGAGAGAGAACGCAGAGAAGCATGGGCAGCAAATTTACAGTAAGCACTTTAGTCGGCCAATGTCAATATAAATAATTGATCATTGGAGGAACAAAATTACTTACTGACCATAATGGACCATTATCTTAAATGATGGAAAGTTGCAGGCAAATTAACCCAGTCAAAGTGAATCAGTCAGTTCTTACTTTCTTAAGTCCATGTTACTTGCAGTTGAAAAAATAATATTGATTGTAGTTTAAAGTTATATTAAATGCAATTAGTTGAAATTAAGAGTGCTTTTTTGACCTACTAATGTAGAAGTTACAATCTTTATGTAAATTAAATAAATAATAAATGTGTAATAAAGTGTACTGCCAACAAATGTAATGTTATCTATAGAGGCTTACGCCTGTTTCACACCGCAAGCGTCAGCGGCGCGTGAGCAGAGCGTGAGCAGCGCGTGTGTTTTCGGCGTCTATATTAACAGATTAGAGCTTTCATACCGCACGCAGCAGCAGTGCGTCAGAGCGAGGCGTGAGCGTCGCCGAAGCAGCAGTGCAGCGATAGTTTCGGCGCTGGGTCTATTTTTGACGTGCTGCTTACACTCAATTAAAGTGACAGTGCACTGATAATGACCAAAACACATTGAATGACAGTAAAAAGTAGCAATTTTACCCAATAAATGCGTTAATAATGTCAAATGGTTTATATATAGTCATTCAAATGAACTTAAAACGATTAAAGACGGCAACAAACATTTATTTTGGCCCGAACTACAAAACCAAATGTAAAACAATTTTAGTATCAGTTTTGCTTAAGTTGCACACTAGTGTTGTAGGAGAGGGGAAATAGAATATTTACGGGATTTGTAGTCCATGGCGAAGTGTATTGTGGGTAGTGTAGTTCGACACGCATGCTGGATTATGTGAGCTCGCTGTGTTCTGTGCAGCTGAGCAGAGGAAGAAAGTTTTAATCGGCTTTGTTTTATGTTCACTCGAGTTATTCCTACCGGGAGCTGTTTGCACTGTGAATCTGACAACACGAAAATAAGTAAAAGAATGGCATGCATTGGTTACTTTTGTCCGTCTCATCCTCTGCACGAGCATGAATTAACGAGCTGTTATTCTGCCGCTGGACATCACTGAAGCGGAGAAAGTAACACTAGTTTGATCTGTATGAATATCATTATAATAACTATATTGTATAAATATGATTATAACTAGGTCTACAGCAACCTGATAATCAAAAAAAACAAATGACACGATATCACAGGCGATTGTCTTCTGACTGTAGACACTTCTCATATAAGTTAGCTTGAGAAGCATACAGTACTATTTGATCTATAAAATTTGTAAAATAAACATTTGCAGGTTAAAGAAACAGCATGGGGGGGGGGGGGGGCTTTGGTGCAGATGAAAAGTTTAAAAAGTGTATTTGTATATAGAAAGACATGGGTAACTAAATAGAATAGACAGAGATATAGGTTGATCTCTGCAGCAGCTGCCGAAGAGCTGCGCACTGCAGACGCAGCTGGTGTGAAAGGCAAACGCCTGCGTGCTGCTACTGCTCGACATACGCGCTGCTCACGCTCTGCTCACGCACCGCTGACGCTTGCGGTGTGAAACAGGCGTTAGGTTACAGGCTGGTGATTATTTTTTGTATTTTAATTAAATTTTATTCATTAAATCATAGTAGATCAATTAAATTATTTTCTCCTTCATGTGATTGTAAATCCTTGAGTTTCTGTCTTCTGTTGAACACAAAAGATTATATTTTTAAGAATGCTGGTTACTGGCTGGCACCCATTGACTTCCATCATAGGAAAAAAACTCTGGAAATCAATGGCACTAGCTACCAGCATTTGTGTTTAACAAAAGACAGAAACTCAAATTCTGATCAAGCAAAAGGTGTGTAAATGGTGAAAGAATAAAATTTTTTGGGTGAACTATCCTTTTAATAAAACAGGTGGCCTAAGAAATAAAAAGCTTCACTACCTGGTGACATTTTCTCCTGTGCTCAAACTCATTGCTTTTCTCTTACCTGTGTGGTTCACTTCTTCCCCAACCTTGCTGGCCCAGGAGGGAATCACTCCAGTCACGACAGTCCAAAGCTGAGTCAGACTCAAAGAGAAAACACTGCTCCAGATTCCTGTAAACATAACACATTCTGACTGACATTTTGAGAACAATAAGTCACTATCATTGACTTGTTATGATTTACTACTCCAAGTGCATTTACATCTATTTACCCAACAGAGAGTATATTCCAGCTTCAGGGAGTTTCTTGACCATGTGACCGAGGTAATATTCACTCCCATAGTTTTGTGCAGGTATAAAGGCGCCATACTTGGTAAATCCCACCTCATATGGAGTGAACTCACACCATTCTGACAAGAGAGCAAAGAGAAGCATGATAGAAGCCTTTAAAATGCTGATTTGTGAAGGTTTCAAACATTTTCTTGTTGAAGTCTTTGCTTCAAACCAGTGATTTGGAGAAAATACCAAAATCAAATAATATAGGCATTATGATTATGTCATACAGTTGCATCCTTGCTATCACTAGAGGGTGATAACCTCTGTGAACTTGATTTATTTCTTAGACATTGAAATTAAATTTGTGTAATAAAAAGTAGGAATTGCAGTTGATCTGATTAACTTAATGCCTCTATTGACTTGAAAATTAGACATATTATACACACAATTCATATTTAATGTTGTGTTGATTTGTTCATTTGTTGCTTTTAATAGATTACATTTTTTGTAATCATTTGAGTTTTCGATGCATTTAAACAGTTTTGAACTTTTGAAACAGTGAATCGTTTTAGGACAGTTGATTCTGGTTGTTGATTCAAAAGTTTGTTTCTCCCGTCACTAATATCTAACGTAAGCACTTTCAGCTGCTCTCAATCCAAAGAATTGATCTGTTAAGTAGCAAACATAATAAACATGACCTTAATGGACCATTATCTTGCAGGACAGGAAGTGGTAGGCGATTAAATAAGACAAAGTGAATTAAAGTCACTGCCCACCAGTCTCTATGATACATCCCGTCTTGCCGTTCTTCATGTTGAGAGCTGTGTAGATGGGAAGTGGGTTCTGGCCATTACACAGTGCCATCTGCTGGTCTGATAGTGTACCCAATTTTTTCTGAGGAAGAAAATAATTGTTAAATTACATTTAAACAAGGTGCGAATTACAGGGGGGTTTAGAGGGGACAGACCCCCCTAATTAATATTTGTTTCCTCCTAAAGGACATCAAAACAGCATGGGGGAGGGGGGGGTCAGCCATCTAACTAGTGAGAAATAGTTTGCTCTGATCTGTATCTTAAATACTAATGCTAATACTTAAAAATACATAGATAATATAAATATATATTTGACCACCCCTATGATGGATTATACCATTGTGAAAGCATAAACACATCAATCAGTCTACACCAATAGACATGGTAAGTGTTTACAAATAGGTGTTTGTTTCTACATATAGCCTAAAAGTAAAGTAAAATTAGATGAAAAGTTTGATATACAGTAACCTCTGAAACAGCTAATCAGAGGATATTGTAGGTCACAAATACACAATACACAAAATATCCCACAAAACACTGAAAACTAATGTTTCATTAAATTAAATGTCATTTAAATGAATGCATACATTTGTTTCATGAAGGATGTATTAAACAAACTAACATTACCGAAAAAGTTGACCCCCCCTGATAGTCAATATATAATTCACACACTGCATTTAAATTTGATATTTTTATGCTTATAAAATGAGTTTTGCATCTGATATTAAAGACACAGAGTACCTTTCCATGGATGAGGTACTCTATAGCCAGACCCCACATGTCTATGAGAGATACAAGGTGTCCTTGTTTCTCTCGCTCCTCCATCTTCTCTTTGTAGTGCTGTAGCTGCTCAGGTGAAAATACACTAAACACACTTTTAGAGATCTCCTTTTTTACAGACTCCATAGCCACATTTAGGTCACTGTTTGACCAGTTAGCATCACTATAAAGTGAAGCCATAGTCCTGTGAGATAAGATAAAAATAATTATTCACATGACATTTATGTAATCTAAAAGCTATGATACAAAACAGATGATAACTACTGATTTAGAGTTGCAAATGTTAATGTGTTGCCTGTATTGCTTTTTAAATTTATATTAATTTTACATTTACCAGGTAGACCCAGAAACCCCTGTGATGTAACTGACTGCATCAAGAAGTTGGAGCGTTTGCAGAGCTCTTAGGCCTCCGAATGTGGCTGTCATCGCTCTGGTCCCACCTCCAGAGCACACTACAGCAACCAGTGGGACCTGAAGAATCATCATAGATTTATATAGACACAGTAGTTTTAAATTAGTATATGCATATACAGTATATGTGACATTAATTAACTTCTTGTAACGTTATGTCAGTAAATAAATCTGTTCAATACATTTATAATAACTTTTAGTGCTATTTATATTATACATAATAAATATACATGGTATACATGCATATATTATGTAGATACAAATTTTTGTTTTGAATTTCATTAGCCACAAATAATTGTTTGACAGTACTATTCATTTTAAATGTGATTAATTTAATTAAATTTACACATGGAAAACATGCAAACTCCACCCAGAAATAAAATAAAAAATAAAATATGCATGTCAGGCCATTATCCTATTATCTGCTGAATGTCTTTATGTGAGTGTTTGTGTTCTTGCCTTGCTGGGATCTGGTGCAGAGCCGAGATTCAGAGCTTTCTGAAGAGCTTGTGAAACAACTTTTCTTCTCTTCAGCAGAAAATTCTTCTCCTCCACTGGAATATCAAATTCCAAACGCACATCCATTTCTTCATCTAAGCTTTAGAACAAAAACACATTCACATGACTCATGGAATCAGTTGAGAAAATGCTGGTAGTTCCTTGTGATTTATCTTATTTAATTATAATCAATTACACAATTAAAAGCATTCAGTTTTGATCAATAAATTGCATGCAAAAGAAGTTTATTTAAACGGTTATAGAAAAGATTGTTTACCAATCCTCTGTGTTCAGTTCTAGATGCACTTCACCCTAAAATAAATTATTACTCCAATTAGTTACTAGCTTTTTATTTTACAGTACGTTGGAAAAATGTATAGATATACAATAAAAATCTGATTTTACCAGTACGTACCTGTGCAATAGGCATGGAGAGTTTCATTTGCTGTTTGGCCGATAAAGGTTTCATAGGAACAGATGACAAAATGTCTGCAGTATTTGCATATTTCTCATCCATTTCTGCCCCAGCCTAGGAAAAAAAAATGCAAACAAATAAGCAAGATTCATATTTTGTCATACGTTGCTTATTTTGTATTCCTTATTTAATTTGGTAAAAGTTGTTAAAAAATGTTCTGAGATCATCTGTGTAATCGGTCACACACTTTTGGGGGTAAGAGACTAAACTCAGTCTCCAGATCTCTGTTGATGTAGAAGCACGTGTTCTGCAAGCAGTTTGAGTTTTCATCAGAGCTCAGGATCATACAGTCTTCCTTATATGCGCCGCGCAGTCTTAACATCATCTTGTTCTCAGCTGAGGTAAATGCAGAAAAAAAAATCTTAATTTTTACAACATACTTATTCCATCGCCTTTAACTGATTTTTTTTTCTAATTAGTACAAAATTTACTGTAAATTATAACTGTTGACTTAAATTACCACCAAAAACTGGTTATAATTTCAGTTATAATTGTTCAGTTGTCATTATAAAGCTTGTATATATATTAATGTCACATTGTGGTTAGCTTTACACTCAAAAAAAAATGTTTTGCTGCTTGTTTAAACTACGCATTTAAAATGAGTTGAAACACCACAATTCTGAAGTATTGGGACAACTTTACTTTTTATGTTCAATACACTTAAGATTTTTTAAAATGATTAAGTTAATCAACTTGTGTTGGGACAACATAAATGAATTGTGTGGAACTCAGCATTTTTACAGTGTATGTAAATTTGTATGAGTAAAATTCTTGACGTCAAAGCTCAGAAATGATTGAATGTTCTTCTGTTTACCATTTGTCTTCAGATGTTTTTGCAACTTCACATCCAGTGCACAGAATGGACCTGCCTAGAAATGAGTGGGATGGAAAGAAAAAAGTGCTTTTGCTTTTCTTTTAATTCAACAACGATTTTCAAATTACAGTCAGTTTTGTTTAATGGAAACTAATGGAGTTTTTATATATTCAATCTGTAAAATATAAAAAATGTCCCTAGATGGAAGAAAAGTAAAAATTAATATTTTTCAAATATTTCATAGTCCTATTTCACAGTTCTTGAAAAAGAATTACAGTTTCTCAGGAGCGCTAATATTACCTTTAGATTTAAATATGTCAAAACTCTTACCATCAGCACTCCGTTAGAAAAGTATGGTATAGGCTTCTCAGAGCTGAAGAAAAAAAATAGAGAACATAAACAAAACATTTTTGCCACCTTTATAACTGTTTTTAAGTTCTTTTCCCATAAATTTTTAGCAATTTTATTTTAACTCACCTCACAGTCATCTCAAACTCTACCCACAGTGCACCCTTTCTCTAGAATAAATAAAAAATAGGCCTATACTTGACATGCATTCATAGGACTATACTTGACATGCATTCATTTATTTGAAGTAATGGATACCAAAGGCTTTGACTTTAAAAACTTTTTTTAATAAAAGGAGATATTATATGTCATTTTCTAATTTTAAATTACATACAATACCTCGTCATCTGACATGAAGCATTTGGTCTGCTTTTGTCCAGGTGTGAGGTTACTGATGTCGAAAAGGATGGTGGATAAATGGTCATCTTTCGTTAATTTGTCAGCATCAAACATGTGGAATTCCAGAATGTTCTGAAGAGACAAAAATACAGTCTACTTTAGAAAAGCAAAACAACCAAATCAAATTATTATTGTGAGACAATTTTGGTCTGTAGTAATGTAAACGTGGGCTGAAGCTAAACATGTACTACTTTAGGGTTGAAGCATAAGGTACACTTGTGGATTAACAATATTTTGTTCATGAGAGTTGTGTTTTAATCCGCAGATGAGTCTGAAGCTTAAATCTTAATGCAAAACATTTTGATTTTGTGAACTAACAAACAATAAAAACTCCAAACTCCCCCAATAACGAAATCTGCAGCCATGTCTTATTAGTACAGTTAGGTTGTCTTTATGCCATTGGCGTTTTGACTCGCTGGAATCAACTAAAAAAAAATGGCAGCAATAACATCAGACTGACATACCAAGGATGCATTTTTTAAATCAAAATGACAATATCAAAAACGTTAAATGTTATTTTAATTTCAAAAACATTGTGGATGTAGTTACAAAAGTACATTATCTATTCGTGTAAATCAAAGTTGATCTCATTATGCCTTTAGTTCAATTTTAAAAGGATAGTTTATCCAAAAATGAACATTCTGTCATTTCGTTTATTTTATTTTTTTGAACACAAAAGAAGCTATTATGAACAATGGTTAAAAAAAAAAAAGTAGTCATTGGCATTATTAGTATTGTGGATGTTTGTGCCTACTAGTTTTCAACATTCTTAATTTTCTTCTTTAGAAAAGTATTGTTACGAGTAGTGTAGTGTAGGCTTGTGTGTAGTGTTTTTCTCTCTCTCTCTTTCTCTCGCTCCAAGTATTCGCAGGTGCAGCGGATTACGTTGGGACGGACCATGATTGGCGCTTTGATTGGAGGCGGCTATAAAAACCTGCAGAAAACATGGGTTCGATGGCTCCCCGCTCTCTCTCGATTTCCCCGCTTGTACTCAGTGGAGAACGTGATCCAATGAGTGTTTGCTTGTATATCTTGGTGGCTTTGTGAGATGCCGGTGCGTTAGTTTTTAACTGGCGATTGAAGCCCGGTTTTCTGTCTCCCTGTCAGGCTTGGAGCATGTAGGGAGGTTTGGTGCCTTATTTGTTATTTTCGTTTTCTCCTGTGATTGTTAGAAGGGAGGTAAGTTTTCTGTATTTTATCTTATTTGTTTTCCAGGGAAGTTTAATCTAATTTAGTTAGCTTGGTTTATTGTCATTTATTTTGGCTGAACACCTCCTGATGTTATTTTTGCCCCTTATTTCTATAAATAAATCATACTTTCTTGTTAATTCTTAGTGGTTGTGTTTTTGGTATATATTTTGGGGAGAGAGAGCGCGGGGGCACCAGGGATTGTTTTTAATCCCTGTTATTTTGTTACGTTTTGGTTAAATCTTTTTTTGATTAAGGATTTTTAATTTAATTCATAACTATATATATATATATATATATATATATATATATATACAATTTGTGTTGAATAGAAGAAAGATTTTCGAATTCTCTTGGAACCACATGAGGGTGAGTAAAAGGTAAGTAATTATTTTTAATTTTGGGTGATGAAGGCAAAAACAGACTGGATAAAAGTTGTACAATCTACTGTACTTTGTTACAGAAATTCACAGAAAGTATATTTTTAAGGTACTGCAATCAAATTTAGCCACTAGCTGAGAATTAAACAAGCGTTATGAGAACTGTTTTGATGGTTACATAAATGAGATGAAAGTTTAAGTACAGTAATTAATCTAATTACTTCTATGTAAAATGGCTTTGTTGTCAACCAGATTACCACTATTAACCACAATTATTGAAATCAACCTTATTTGTCACGTTAGTCAAGAACAATGAGGGTGGAGAAAATTAATGTTTTAGGTCATCAAGGATATTATTTAAAAAATTTAACAATTGTCTAAAACAGTATTTCTTACCTTAATACCACTGTGCACTCTGAAATGGAAAGTTTCATTCCATTTTGGTTCATTACTATTTTTCACAGTCTTGGTGCGGTGACAGCAGGCACTGGCCGTGGGTAACTTTAACGTGACGTAGCAGTCATTTTTGGACACTGGACAGACATAGCTCAATCAATGCACACCAAGCATGATTATTACATGAAATAGGTATTCTAATGAAAGACAGCTAAATCACACAAAAGCTAAATATTTATGTTACAAAGCATATTTATCATTAGTTCTCCACAAGTCACAAAGTTTTTCAGAGGCTGATTGACAACTCACAAACATCATATGACTGACAGAATGTTCCCCTCAACACAGTGACACTGAGGTTCCAGTATGGCATCAACTCTATCTGTGAAACAAAAGTAAAATAAAAACAGATATATTTACATTTAAAGGACATTTGAGACAGAAACATGATTACTGAACTTAATAGAGAAGTTGTGTTGCATGGAATATGTATATTACATAGGGAATATGTAAGCTTCACTCATTTAAACCTGAGGCTTAACTTCAAGACTAATGAAAATGTATATAAAAATGTAAATAAATAAATAAATAAATAAATGTATATAAATACCATTGTGTTTAATATTATTGCAAGCACTTTGGTTTTTGTACATTTCAATTTTAAGTTTGGTAAATGTTTTACTTCTGTTCTGTTTGAAAAACAAATCTGTTTTATGACCATCCAACTATGAATGAGTTAAAACAGTAACATAATAAAGATGGCAATATTTATTATATTATATTCATTCTCAATAGATTCAGTTTCAATAAAAAAATAACAATCTTTTGAACCACTTTTTAATAACCTTTTTAGCCCTTGGTTGGACAATCTTCACAACAGGCAAAACGAACAAAAAAGCATTGTAATTAATTACAGTCAAATGTCCATGAGCTACATAATACCTTCAGCATTGTTTTCTTCTCAGCAGGCCTGCAGTGAAGTCTCAGAACTAAATAAGAAATGGAGATTGCACCAGTCAAAGTCACATATAACAGAGAAAACCTGAGAAACTAGTTTGTCCATCCCATTTTTCCCTGATAATACATTTGATAGTGTCTTGAGTTATAGCACTGAAGGTGTGTCCATGAAGCTTGCTTACAATAATCTCCACCCTTTATTTGCTCATCAGCCATCTCTAAAATGTATTATTATTAATGTTTTGTAGATCTGGCAGGTTGCAAAATAATTATCGTGAAATATGTTTTCAATGGCAACTTTACAGATACTTGATTGGTTTTGACTGATTAATAAAATAAATGTGATGCACTGAGGCTCATGATATGCTTTAAAACTCCTAAGATGCGGAGTGAGTAACATTTCAGAGATAACCCTTCCATGCCCGTAAATATCAGCCAAGCCCTGTTTTATTCACATGCCACATTATCGTCACTCCTGCTGATTCATGCTCTGAATGAAGAAAATTGAGCCATTATAAACTGTTTACACTGCGTTGTTTACCTGTACAGCTAACGTAGGTTGTTTTGTTCATAATATCATGCATGTGCCTGAAATTTCTACAACTTAACCCAGTTGGCACAGATGATTCCAGAAAAGACAAAAAAAAAAAAAACATAAAAAAGTGAAACAAAAATCTTCAAGAGGAATTAACTTTAGGAACATGAAGATGCATCTTTTGCAGTGGCGTAGCGGACGGGCCCGCAGGGCACGCACCGCGGGGGGGCCCCGCGTGATTAGGGGGCCCCACGTCGTCGCGATATTCAAAAATTGAAAATCCAGGAACTGCAATAATCATACTCTTGGGAACAACTGTGGACGGAACCAAAGTTCACAGGTCTGTGTTCTCCGAACACCTCTCAAGCGGTGGACTACTTCATTCTGATTGCTTGCCGCCGAACCGCGTCATAGCCAATGAAGACGCGCCGCTGTTTCTCGCCGCCGGTTCTCGTTAAAAAATGAATGACTTCTGGCTACTTTGAAGCTCTCGCCGCTTTCGGTTTGTGATCGCTCCTCAGTTTGTGAAGGATTCCCCGCGTTGTCGCTCCACTCCGCCTCCTTTCCCCGCTCCTCAATTTGTGACATAGATATATACACTAGATATTGTATAGGGACCCTGAGCATGCGTCAATGGCGCCCCCACATTGGGACAGTGCTCCCAGGACAAATGTCATTCAGTCGCACTAGACAATTACGTGAAGATGCGGGACTGTAGCGCTGTCTACGAGTGTAGTAACGAGCAAACAAAGAAAACAAAGCACAAAGGCAGAACATTCCATAGGTAGGATTAAGTTTTTTACGTTTTTGTATGTTCTGAAATTTGTGCTAAACAGGTAGCGTTATTGATACTAATACAGCCACTTACTGCATTCACTATAAGTCAAAGTAGCTCCAATTCGCACTAAACACTCGGCTTATGCTAGTTTTGTTGAATAAAATCAGCAAACAATGAAAAAGAAATATGACAACGAGATGCTGCGGTGCCAGAAACTTGTATTATTGTCGGCTAGTGAAGGAGTCGTTGATAATGGAGATTCATTCACAAACAAATCGCTCCCTCCATCAGTATGAGAAGTGAAAGCAGGAGAGGAGCTGTGTTTCAGGACATGATTAGATCAAATTTAACAGGGAGGGTGGATAGTACATTTCTGTACACACAAACACAAGCTTTTTGTCAGGAATGCCCATGCGGTCACTGATCCATCAATGTAGAAAAGTGATGTAAAATTATAATTTTCATAATTGAAATAAAAATACTAACATCCAGGAAAACTCCCGATCATAGATATGTGTATATGTGTATATCTCTGGCTCTGCCGCCCCCAAACCCCCCCGACCCCCTTGAAAACTGGGGGCCCCATCGGTGATCCCTGCAGGGGGGCCTCCGCATTTTGCGCTACGCCACTGATCTTTTGCAAATATTTACTATGTGAACATGTCTAGAAAGTCCTTGTAATCCAGGTTGAGTAGATACTATAATCCAAAAGCACAAAAAAATCACATTGATAGTCTCTAAGTTGGAGCACCATCTCCTCTTCCAGGACAGCAGACATTCAGCACAATTGACAGGGGTCTTTAAGTTAATCATGCTGCTGATGTTGTTTCAATGATTCCCATCTTCGTTGTAGTTGTGTGGTTTTCGAATGGGCCTGTATGTTAATAATATGAAATAACAATGTCAATACTAAGTGTACATATATTAATACAATTCTCACCATGCCATTAACATAATTTTTAATTAATTTAAATTAATACTTTCCATACTATACTTTCAATAGTTTCCATACTGTTAGATTGCTATGCTGTAAATTGCATTGTCATTGTGGCCAGGCACCTGTTTGTTTACAGCAATTGTTCAAAATATCATATACAGTGAGTAAATAAAGTCAAAGAACAAAACTGAAAATGATGTCACAATTTACTCTCCCTTCATTTGTTCCAAACCTGTTTGTTTTTCCATCTTCTGTTAAACTCAAAAGAATATATTTTGTAGAAAGCTGGAAACATGTAACCATTGACTTCCATAGTGCATAATGCATATCATTGTTTTTCCTACTATATAAGTAAACAGTTAGAGGTTTTGAGCTTTCTTTAAAATATGGCATTTAGTGTTCAACAAAAGAAAGAAACTTACGAAAGTTTGAAACCACATGTGCCTGAGTGAATAGTACAATTTATTTTGGGAGTGAACTGTCCCTTTAAGAACAACTCCAAATCAATGTTTAATATTTTCAAGTTGAAATCAATAAGGCAGGCTTGTGTTTTACATAATTAGTTTTATAGTAAATGAATAAGGCTAACGTTACTGTAAAACTGACAACCGTAACTAGCCAGAGTAATGTCTGTAATTAATGTTTTTTATACGAAAATGAGAATATACAATCACAGTATATTAAAAAAGGAGATTAAAGAGGCAAAAAGAACACATGTCTGTAATTAACCTTAAAGTGTTTTGTACAACATTATGAAGGAGCGGCTAGCTAACTGTTAACGTAATACCCATGCTTTTCGTTTTATGTCAGGAATTACTGAGACTTGCACTTGGTTAAACTTAAACACGATTTAATAAATACAGAATTCACTACTCACCATAACTTAGATGATGGAAAATCGCCTGAATATGATGTTTCGGAGGAGCTACGCTGGAATTTAAATCTGATCCAACAAACGATTCTCACGCGCATGCGTACACGCGCTTTTTGCGGCAAAGTTTGTTTGCCAAACTCCAAATACTATTTCACTTCTGTTGAATAACTGGCTGGGCAAAATTTAATGTTTGGTGAATATGTATTTGTAATTTTAACTTCAGACCACCAGCTAAAATTAATAAAGTGTTTGTTTTTTTGTTTGGGGCTTATTATTGTCAATTGTTGAGTCAATATTTAATTATCAGTGTCCACAATTATTTTTTTACAGTATATTTTTGTTTTATATAATCTAATAATAAAATAATGCAAAAATATGATCAGATAAAAAAAACGTATTAGAAATTTGGTTAAATAAAGTTAGATTAACAAACTTTGCTAAAAATTAATTATGAAAATAAATAATCAACTAAAGACAATATTTATGTATGTTTTCGTTTTTATTATTGTTTTAGGATCTAAACCCAGTTATGATAATAATAATAATTATCATGATATCTGCTTACCCTAACTGCTTTTAATCAAATTTAACTGAAAGTGTTAATGTTTCTGTATTACACCTTTTGTTTAGATCACACAATATTTGTTTATAATGTAAAAATGACAAACTATGTAAAAGAGAAGCAACAGAGAAGAACTCCTCTACTGCTCTAATTGACTTTCTGCTGATCAAGTATTGTTTACATTTAAATGACTCCAATATTCTGTCACCACGGCAACCTGAGTTTACACTGGAAATCAACACATCTCTCTGAATCTGATCACTTGAGCTCTTTCAACTCTCCAGCTTGACAAGTTTCTTCAGATTTGTCTGATTTGGAAAGTTGATATTCATGGAGCAGCGGCGCCTCAGACGAACCAGGAGTCTTCCAGCACACCTGAAGGACTTCCTGCTGGAGGGTGTCCCATCTGTTCAGGATCCTGCAGCTGTGATCAGGTTGGATCACACTTACAGCTCTGTCTCTTCCCCAGGTCTGGAGGAGCGTCACCTGAAGAACGCGGCTGTCCTTCCCCACATCCGTCCAGCATCCTCAGTGTCTTCAGTGGACGTGGGACAGCAGGAGGAGCCACTCTCTATCCACGGCTACAACGTTCAGGCCTACCAGGACATCTACTGCTCTGTGGTCGAGCCCATGATTAAGAGTCGTCCCTACAGCCTTCAGCTGGGCCTGGAGATCAAGCAGCGGCTGTGGGAGGCGCTCAGGTGTCCTGTGATGGAGGAGACGGTGCAGGCTGATGGACGAATCCTGATTACAGAACGCAGATGTGGACCCAGGCCAAACATCATCGCTCCTCGATTCCATGTGGACATCAGTGGAGAGCCACTGCCTAAGAAGCCCAGAAGAAAGAGGGCCAGACGCTGAGTCTTCACAGTGTCCCAAACCACACTGCAGGCCTGCGTATGTATATATGTATATAGTGTACATAGTTGTAGAGCAAGTTCACAGTAAGTTTCCTTTTGCATGTTTTGTTTCATCAATTGGTTGTTTTTATTGATTCTTGGTGTTGTTGACTTGAAGTTCTTGGTTTGCTCGGTGGTCTTCAGGATGTTTCAGGTGGTTTTCTGCGCGGTTGTCGAGGTTTTCTGAGCAGTTGTTCTCGTGTTGCTGGTCGGTCGCTGGACTCTTCTGAGAGTTTCGATGCGTTTGGTGATTTGCGGTGTCTGTTAGGGTAGGGTAGGTTAGGTTAGGGTCCCTCACGTGGTTTGCAGCTTGACGTGCTGTGAGGGCTTGTGTGCATCAGTGATGCTGAGAGCTTCGCCACTGGTACTTCACAGATACCGGCAGGGTCACCCATAGTGGACTGGTCTCAGCGGAGATGCCCGACTAAGACAAACCAGCTCTGACAGCAGAAGATTTACACCAGAATCACCTGAAGATGTGGAAGTCGCAGGATTCGTGGAAGCAACCATTCTGAATAAATGAATCAATTAATAAATTTGTTATTTAATACAAATAAAAGAGGCTGCAATTCTTTTCTTTTTCCACTATTATGTTGATTTTTATCAAGTTATAATTAATAAATAAAAGTAA